GAAGAAAAGAAAAAAAAAGGAAAACAGAAAGGGACAATTCACATAGGTAAAAAGCAGTACACAAGAAAATACTGTTGCACACAATAATTTTCACAAAGATTAACATGGATTAACACTCTTATTACAGAAACCGTACAGTGAAGGAACACAACGGCTCAGGGCTTTCGTGGGGTTACTGGGCTGAGATGATACTGTAGAGAAAGAACCACTTGAGATCCAGAGCTGGGGCAGGGGCATCTTTTCCCTTGTGACTGCAGTAGTGTTTCACAGCTCTGCCCCCACCTTCCCTTAAYAATTTTGGTGCAGTGTATATTAACTTCCACTTTCCATCCAGAGTATGCTGGGCTTGTGGGCAGTTGAAAGGCATAAAATGTTCCCTCCATTTCACCCCTCCTGTTTTTWATAGGATTTTACAACTCATTAAAAAAAAATGTTTCACCCATTGGTTCATTTTTAACTACCCAATATCTAGACTTCTCACCTTCCGAGATGCCCCTCTTTCTTCTCTCTTTCTCACTCCCTCTCTTACTCTCTCTCTCTCACACACACTCCTTTATTAAAGCTATTAATGACACTTCCTCTCCTTTCAGAAATTGGATTTGGTATGAAATATACAGGCTACATTCTGGTTCTGCCCAAGAAGAATCTGGTACCCAAAACGCTTTGATTGCTTTGTTGGTGAAACATGGGATGTGGAGATCCTTTTTTACACCTGAAATGGTTGTGCCCTGCAGTATCTGTGGAAGTTTTGTTTCAAGAATACAGAGCAATATATATATATATAAAATTAAAAAAAAACCAAAAAAACACATAAGGGATAACAGGGGAAAAGCCAGAAGTGTTGTATGTAACCATGTGAGGTGGAAGCGTTGCAGAAGTTTTTTTCCTTGCTGAGGGCAGAGGTGCTGTATGTAACCATCCAAATCTATGGGATGTGCGTTGCCAGTGTTGGAAACCCCTTCTTGCCTAACAAGCTGTAAGCCAAAGTATTCACCAAGGCTCTGTGGCTCCTTGAGTGTGCTGGTATTTGTGAGKGCGACTCCGCCCAGGAGAGCGGGCAGGAGCCGGGGGCAGTGAAGCCTGCAGATTGAGTGGCGGTGCACAGTGAGGGAGGGTGGATGGTTTCCAGCTGGCCCGAGTGCTGCCGGCAGTCCTGGCTTGCCGTATGACACCTGATGGCTTTGGCAAGGCGGCCGGCGAGGCGGGAATGGCAACYCCCGGAACGGTGCGGAGGGAGGAGAGGCGGGCTGCCCTCCCCGGCCCCACGGCTCTGATTGTACTGGGAGCAGCGCCGGTGTCCAGCTGCAAAGCATCGCCGATTGCTCCTTCCCACCACCTCTGCTGCCAGCTGACAAATACAGCTCYCTCAGGCACGGTGGAAACATGAAAGGAGTCCTCCCGTGAGCACCCCAGCTCCACAGCTGCAGCTCAGATGTACATATACCTATTTTTAAATGCCAATTCCTGTACTTTCAGGACCTCAAAGTACCATTTTGCCCAGCAGACATTTATACCATGTTCATTGATTACCCAAGTGAGAGAACACAATAGAAGAAAGTAGACAGCTAAGTGAGACCAGGGAGTGGGGAATGTGATATATCAAAATGCAAAGTACAAGGTAGCAGCAGTGGGGAACATCATTAATGGGAACTGGCATGTGCTGAGAAAACACAGTTGACAAGGAGATGGTCAGTGAACTTTGTATTTTGTTTACTGGTKTAAAACATTGCTGTGGTGGTGAGCATCATTTGTAAGAAAGGGGTGAACAGATGAAAGCCAAATTACAGCATTGCCTCTGAGTGGCTCACGCAAACACACACAAACACACACATACACACACACACACACGAACAACCCCCCTCCCCCCAAAAAATAAAACAGGCGTTCACTAACTCAGGAATTATTTGTTTGCCTAATGATTTATCAACAGTACAATACAATCCTTTTTTTGAATATCCTTCATTCTCCTGATGTGGGTATCTTCATCCAGATGAGGATCCTACATAGAACAGTAAATTTTTGTATCATGCTCCCTGCTTCAACTCAGGGAGGCCTGATAAAGCACGTTATTAAAACAAGCGAACAAACAAATAGCTTATCTGTTGAACTAAATCTTCAAAGTGGGTGGAGTGTTTGTTTCAATCAGACTTTGGAACACACTGGATTACTTCATCTCTGGACTGACTTTCCAACACTATGTTATATCTCAAAACAGAATATACATATYAAAAACACACTTTTCCATTTTTAACGGGCAAAATTAAAAAGAGGCAGCTGTATTGAGTTTTTGAAGGTGTCACTTATAAACACAAGATTTCCCTTAAAAAGTACCAGTTTAAATGTAAACTATAAAACACTGTAATAACTATAAAATGTAGCCAGAAAACTGTTTAAGTAGCCACAGTCTATTATTCAGTTCATATTGGTTTAAAATGTGACTCATTAAATATCTTCTAGAAGGCCAAAGCATTTTACAGTAGCTATAAACATATATACTTACATGTGCATTTTAACATCACAATTGATTAAAATACATAAAAGAGTAATCTATTCCTTGGTTTATTTTTTTTTTCTTTTTAAAGATTCACTGTCTTCAGAATTCACTCAAGCAACAATGACCAGGGTGGGCATTTATCGCTATTCCGCCCCTATGGAGTTCAGAGTCTTTGAATCAAAGTTCAAGCTGGCTACATGATTTCAGAAAGGCTAAAACCAGGATGAATGCCCACATTTGAGGTAATTATTGCCATTAGGTCACAGTTTGTGTAATGTAAGTGTATTTAAATCCTTCTTTTAAAAAAAGCAAATGTACCCCACAGTACTGGGGGATACCCATTGAAGCAATCAGAATCCAGAATCCTGATCAGTGGGTTTGCTTCCAAAGGAGCCAGTGGTCCCGGAGCACAAGGCACTCCCAGGACAGTCGCCAACCAGCCTAGAGCTCAGGCAAGCAAGCCTGCAACAAGCCTTCTTTAATTTTTTAAAATTTTTAAAAGAAAAAGAAAACATAAGAAAAAATGCCATAAAATAGACGGGTAACTTTTCTGATCAGAATTCCAGACTGAAGCTTTTCTATCCATCTTACTCCTTTCCAAACAGTTTGCTGAAAAATCAAAATACATCGGCTTAAATATTAACTCTATGCCAGCGCTGCAAAAACTCCTTGGCTATGTTCTGAAAGTGGGATAAGTTTTGCTTTTGCTGAGCATTGTTGCCCCATTGCTTTCTGTTTCAAAGAGGAAACCTTG